GTGATGACAGAGTCTGTCCTCCTGAAATCTGCAGCATGCTTGAGCGTGCTCGTTGGCACGAGGACTGGTTGCTGGTCTTCGTCGATGGTGTATTTTCTCCATCCTGAATGCACCTGACGAGTTGTCAGCCGCAGAATCAAGCTAAGTGGTTCCGGTTGCGACGCCGCCCCGACGTCGCACTGCACGTGAAACCATATCTGCACGGCTAAGTGACCAGTACCACGACCCATCAGAACAATGTCGCTCCTACTGAATGAATTGTTCCTGTTGTGCGCTATTGTACTCGACACAGCCGTCTGCGTCTGGGGGCGCAAATGCGTTCGGCATTCGGTCGACGTCTTAGACGCTGAAATCGGGTCCTGCAGCACAGTTGCAACGCTGAAGAGGTTAAGTTCGTGGCGGAGCTGGGCGATCAGCTGCAACGTCAATGCCTTCTCAGGACGCCTCAAGCAAACGTGGTCGTGCGCAAACCGCTTGACAAGTTTGTGTGTGCGATCGTGCACAAAGCATGATAATCAATCAACTGTCTGATGCATGTCGGGGAGGTGCATCGCCATATGGAATTTGTAAGACCAGACTTTGGTACCATAGCACTCCTGGTGCAGCCGAAGGTGATGCGCAATAGCAGCAGACAGCTCGGCGTGACTGGCGCATGCGCCCCTCGCCAGTGCAACGAACAAGTCCAAGGCGTCGCACAGCGCCAGAAAGCTCGATGTGTGTTTGGCGCATGCAGGCGCGCCTGCACCTTTGGCCACTACTTCTCTGACGTAGCGTGCGAGCACCGGCATGGCTGACAACGTTTCAGACGCGCCCGCAGCGAGCTCGCCCGCGTCGAAAACCCGACGGGAGTGTTTGACATCTTTCGGCCACGTCCATGCTTGCGAAAATGCGTCGAGGTCGTTGCCGTTGACGATAGAAGCGACCGAGCGATCGCTGAGGAAGGCAGTGGTCTCTTTATCCACGACGCCGCCTACGACATAGACATGCATCCAATCGAAGAGCCGCATCGACATGACCCCGTGCCCCAAATGCGGGTCGAGTGCAATATGATTTGGATGATAGCTCCACCCGCTAAGCTGCGTGAGCGCCCTGAATCGTTCATCATTTATTTCGCCATTATCCATCCGTTCCCAGTGGGGGCGGCTTCTGCGAAGGATCGCAACGACGGTTTCGTCTGTGTTGGTGACCCACTTGCTTTTGTTTATATATGCATCTGACACGCACCAGCCTGTCGCTTCATACGCGCTATAATCGAACTTATGATGTGCCATGTTTCTGCATATGGCGCGCGGCTTGGTCCCCGCGTGCCCTTTGTTCATGCGCAGCTCCCGCGATGCTTCCTCGTCCCCGATGGCGCATTCTAGCTTCGCGGCCAGTGTCGCGCGCGCCGCGCCGTCGCCGCTCTCAGACGCATCGAGCGCGACGCCCGTAGTCTTGAGATCGACTGCGCCAGCGTCGGCGTTGAAGTGCAACCTCTTGAGAAGGATGCGCAGCGCGTGGCCAGCGCCGCCTGGAAGTTTGCGCGCCATGGCAACTCTTGCCGCGGACAAGACGAACCGCGCGTCTTTTTCTGGAGAGATGCTCGTCGAAGTCCAGGAAGCTCCAATTGATGGCATCGGCCCCTCTATAATCTCTGCCTGTGGCCAGCGGGTCTCGTGGCGAGATCCCGTCAGCATAAAGGCAAGTTCGCCGTGGACGTGCTGGCGTGCGCGGGTGCCTATCCAGCTGCTGTCGCATCAGCGACCTGCGCCCGCAGCTAGCCTTGCGCGCGGAATAAATCATGGGCCTTGGTGAACACGCCCAGTATTGGAATGGCTGGCCGTATTCAAATTGCATGTCAATGCGTTGCAGCAGGTGTCCGTAAGGTGTCGTTTCTTGAGCAACGACCACCTCCTTTGCGCGATATCTGATTGCGACGCACCGATTGCATGTCTCGCATGGACAACGCGGATAAGGATGCTCCGCAGCACGCGCCATGTGTGAATGTCGTTGCATCGCGCACGATCTCGTCAATGGTCACGTGTTCCATAGGTATTGGCCCAGCAACGCAGATATGCATGACTGGCATGGCGTACCCGCGTGCTTGCATCAGTTGCAATGCGCGCGAGGCTCGGTCACAAAACACGGCTGGCCATACGAACACTTGGCCAATCTCAACAAATTCGACCCCGTCCTATCGCAGACGACTGGTACAATTGATATTGTGCATGCCACATGCAAGGCATGACTGGAGTGCATGAGTATAGCTTGAACGGCATTGCGCCTGTGAGACTTACACGGCACAGTATGCAAACATCTTGCCTGTAGGAGTTCCGCTCGCTGCGCTGTATTCGGGTAGACCGTGATGGATAGCGTTGAGTTGTGCAGAGTAAAGTCTATTCGTCGGTGTGGGTATACCCTAGCGAAATGCAATAGTCGTCGACCATGTCACCTAAGTTGAGTCAGCGCTGGCGGCTCTGATTGTTGCGGCGAGACACGCCAAGACCGTGGAACTGCAACCAGACGCGCGGCACTAACAATATATTTATATAGCCCAAAAATTCAATCACGTACGCGTGCGTCCCAGCATGTCAGCGCAAGGCGAGTCTATCGCCGCTGTAGGCGGCGGGCGCAACGCAGTCAAGCATGACGATCACAACTCGCGACCGAACGTCAATG